TCATCAATCATGTATACAGAAGGAAGCATTTATGGATTTTCCATTCAAAAAAAATATTTAAAAGCATGTGGGAATTCACCTTTTTAGATGCTACATACGTTACATAACAGGCGGAAATGAATCTTCTAAGCTTTAAAAAAATGTTCTGTGTTGTAAATATCATGTTAAGGATGATTAGTTTTGAGCCAATTTCAAACATTTTTAAAACCAAAACATCACGGTGTTGATATTGTCAATACGTATAGGAAATTTATCATTTTAAAATAATAAATAACAATAATATTTCTTTAAAAAAAAACTTTATGTCTTTACATAATGTAGCTTCTTAATATATAAACTTTTTAATTGCATTAGTTAACTATTCTAATTTGATCTTTCTATTTCAGCCAGAGCTCCAGCACCAACTCGTAAGTCAATGAATAAAACTTTTCTTTTTTTAATAATGAACCATTTAAGAAATATTCTTGAAGTATGCATCATTCTATTTCAACAAACCGTATTCACACGGTCACAAACTCTATGGGCGTAGTCACATTTCTACAGGTCTCACATGGTATAGAATATACTGTGCCACCATCCACACATTTCTTAAAAAAGGACAATGCAGATGGTCAGTGCAAGTCGCAAGAATGCCAGACAGCAGACTTCCCAGGGGACTAATGTTCGGTGGACTCTCCAGTGGGAAACGTTTAGTTGGAGGGCAGAAAAAAACACTTGATAAACTTTTAAAAAGCTTCACTCAAATCCAAGGGAATTGACTATGATTCAGAGAACTCGAAAATGCCTTGGTAAAAGCTGGTCTTAATATAAATGAGCCAAAGACAAAATTTATGATATCAGAAAACACGCACACTGATAACAACATTAATATAAACAAACACAAATGTGAGAAAGTGGCTACATTCAAATATCTAGAGGCACGATGAAATCATGTCAGAGGTGAAAAAAAGGATAACAGCAGGCAAGTGTTCCTATTTCAGCTTAACTAAGCTACTTTGAAGCAAAAAAAACTCTCAAGGGGAACAAAGAAGACAAGATACACCACTATCATAAGACCAGTAGTAACTTACGCTATGAGTTTGGGACCCTTACAAGAAAAGTAGAGAACCTTCTCAATACATGGGAGAGAAAAATCCTCAGAATAATATACGGCCCAGTGATAAAAAAAATGATGTCTGGAGAATCCGCACCAACCAAGAGCTTTGCCAATTGTAGAAAAACCATCTCATAGTCGCAACAATAAAAAAGAAAGGCAGACTGCGCTGGGTAGGACATATTGAAAGGTTGCCGAAATGTAGAGCAGCTAAAGTGAAATACAGGCAGAAACCTAAGGCTGAGATGGATCGACGATTTAGAAAAGAATTTACACCAGTTATGGGTTCGCGCACGGAGGCGGAAAGCCATGATTCTTTCCGAATGGAAGGATGTGGTGGAGCAGGCCAGGGCCCTTCGTGGGCTGTAGCTCCACTGATGATGATGATCATGACTTGCCATTGAAGGTGCAAGGTGGCGTGACAGTTTCACGGTATGGGAAAATTCCTTAGATAATGAGCGCAACGCTCAGCCCCAAATGAAAGCGAGTGGCTAGAGAAAGAAGGATAGTCTCAAAACGTTCTACGAACCAAAAGAATGTGTGTCACAAGTGCAGGAAAGCTTTCCAGCCATAAATAGCCTGGCGGGCAAACTGCGTACTCACCTTGTAATATAGACTTGGTCATCCTCACACTGAAAGGACGAAAAAACAACAACTAAAGAACATCGATCACATAGTCACAACTGTTTAGCCCAGATATATGACGTCAAATAGGATTTCTTCAACGATTTGCAAATTATAATCCAAGACTTTTTCTGCGTATTGTTATCAGTATGGAGAAATTAATCTCCTATTTAAGTATATGGCGCGTTCTAAAACAGTACACAACAAAAGGAGATTCCACCAATTAAATACAGGTACAAAGAAAACAATACCCAAACTAAGGCGAATTACAAATAATATATATTTTTTTTAAAGTTAATAATAAATTACAAAATCGAAAAGAAAAAAAAATTAAAGTATAGTTTACAGTATAATAATTGGCTTGTACCGTACGATTTTGCAGAAGGTATAATGTTGTAAAAAGGTACAATAAAGAAAAGGACTCTACACACACACACAGCAAAATGTTAGTAAACAAATCTCTGTCTCGTATGACAAATCTCTAAAGTCATATCAAAAATAAAATCCCCCCCCCCTCCTTCCTGTCGATCAATATCTATGGCCTGTTTTAAAGTCACTCCTCGAACGGGCGTACCAGCTGCTTTCCTTTCCTGATATGTCTTAATTATTCTGCAGAAATCTAAATAATACCGACTATAGATTTTATTTATTTGTAAACAAGGTCAAGACAGAGTATATTTAGCTAGCTTCTGTGGTACCGAACTTGGGGTCAGTTAAAGTTCATGCACTGGGAGAGATGACGTAGCACGTTGTCTACACAACACTATTGGGCAAAATCTTTATTTTTTTTTTGTTGCAATGTTGAAGTGGGACGTGAATGTTCATATCTGACTGATGTTTGTAAAAATGATAGAAATGTTGCGACGATGATTAGAATTGAAAACAATGTGATGATGTTTATGTTGCATGGTGACACATTTGGTTACGACGCTGTTGTGAACTAGATTTAGGCGCATGAATTTTTCGTTTTGCATAGCTATTGACCGTGTGAGGTTTTGTGTGTTTGTGTGTTTGGTGTTGAGAGTATTTTTGTAGCTGTTTCTAGGTGCTTGGTAATTTGTGACATATTTCGGTTTTGGAAATGACGTTATTTACGTCTTATAGTTTTGGATAACAGTGATTGAGTAATTATATTGTGGAGAGTTTGTCATTTATACTGTCATTGGGGGACCCCCCCCCCCCGGACAATGGGGAGTCCACTGCCCTCGGTAAACTTTCCCACCGCGGGAGGTGTTCACGTGACAAGCGGGTAGATTTTAACTTGTAGAAGATTAATAACGTTAGAAGATCGTAACAGATGTTTTTTTTTTCTTTTGTCTTTGGTATGTTTCTATATAAAATTTGCTGGAATAACAGGCAATGAATATAGTAACTCTTCTCTATGAAGATCTTTGTTTTTTTTGGAGGTACTTTTATCTTCAAGTTTGTGTGATGTTAATGCTTCTTATGACGACCGGTTGCAATACGTAAGCCTCACATTCACCAATTTTTCAATGCTTTTATTCATTCCACTTTTATGATGCTACGTATCCATGATGTCATTGAATGATGTTGTTGGTTTTTCTCTTAGCGACTCCAAAACCTTGTCCCGCCCTGGCGGACATCGTGTTTGTTATAGACTCGTCCGGCAGCTTAGGTCCGGACAACTATAACAAAGAGAAGCAGTTCGCCATCGACATCGCCAAACGTTTCCCCATCGGTCCAACCGGCGCTCGCTTTGGTTGCGTCATCTTCAGTTCAACGGCGGAGACCATGTTTGACCTGTCCGACGACCTGGACAGGGCATCTCTTGAAGAGGTAATCTTACATTCCCGAAGAGACGTGATACTGATCTCAGCGTGTTGCTGTTAATGTGTTGTTTTTTTTACTTGAGCAAGTCAAAACTGGGTTGTCGTGCACGCTTTTCTGTCAAATGTAACATAACTTAGTTACAGAACGTACGTCCATTATTTTACTTGGTCTGGAAAAGTTGTTACAACAAATTCCCGGGGTTTGGCAGGGATTGGGCTTGGTCAACAATGACTAAACTATTCAGTCATTAAACTTGGTCATCAATGACTAAACTATTCAGTCATTAAACTTGGTCATCAATATCTAATCTATTCAGTCATTAAACTTGGTCATCAATATCTAATCTATTCAGTCATTAAACTTGGTCATCAATATCTAATCTATTCAGTCATTAAACTTGGTCATCAATATCTAATCTATTCAGTCATTAAACTTGGTCATCAATATCTAATCTATTCAGTCATTAAACTTGGTCATCAATATCTAATCTATTCAGTCATTAAACTTGGTCATCAATATCTAATCTATTCAGTCATTAAACTTGGTCATCAATATCTAATCTATTCAGTCATTAAACTTGGTCATCAATATCTAATCTATTCAGTCATTAAACTTGGTCATCAATATCTAATCTATTCAGTCATTAAACTTGGTCATCAATATCTAATCTATTCAGTCATTAAACTTGGTCATCAATATCTAATCTATTCAGTCATTAAACTTGGTCATCAATATCTAATCTATTCAGTCATTAAACTTGGTCATCAATATCTAATCTATTCAGTCATTAAACTTGGTCATCAATATCTAATCTATTCAGTCATTAAACTTGGTCATCAATATCTAATCTATTCAGTCATTAAACTTGGTCATCAATATCTAATCTATTCAGTCATTAAACTTGGTCATCAATATCTAATCTATTCAGTCATTAAACTTGGTCATCAATATCTAATCTATTCAGTCATTAAACTTGGTCAACGATGACTAAACTATTCAGTCATTAAACTTGGTCATCAATATCTAATCTATTCAGTCATTAAACTTGGTCAACGATGACTAAACTATTCAGACATTAAACTTGGTCATCAATATCTAATCTATTCAGTCATTAAACTTGGTCAACGATGACTAAACTATTCAGTCATTAAACTTGGTCAACGATGACTAAACTATTCCGTCATTAAATTTGGTCATCAATATCTAAACTATTCCATCACTGGACTTGGTCAACAATGTCTAACTTATTCCGTCATTGGACTTGGTCACAATAACTAATGTATTTTGCCGTCAGTTACTATCAAATTTTGTTTCACGAGACTCCACGATAATCTGAGTTTAAAAAAAAAAAAAACACCCTTTCTCTTGCACAGTGGAATATCAAAATATCTCAAAAAGCAGCCACGTTTTCTAATCATATGTATCATGTTAATATATTAATTGATTCGTTTAAGTTATATTCCGTGTTTTTTCCACATAAACTCTAAGCTTTTATAGTTACAATGCCGTTGCTAACCATGATGTCGTAATTACCACCCAGGCCTTCGAAGCTCTGCCCTTCTTGAACGCAACCACACACACTGATAAAGCCTTCGATCTCGTGTCGGAGGAAGACATGTTTGGTGAGGACAACGGTGGCAGGAACAACGCTGCAAAAATAATCATCTTTTTGACTGATGGGTTGTCCAACAACACAGCAAAAAGTACGTTGAAATTAGATTATGGGGTAGTGAATTCCCAAGATCTGGGGAAAATTCACAAGGAGTGGCATAGCTCCTTTAAATAGCTATATAGTGTTGGCATAAAGACATTTAAGTTGCACTCATTTGTAAATCGCTATCCATTAATGCATCAGTGAATATTTATCAATATATAAGATCACAGTTTAGCCATTCATCAGTCTATATATATATATATATATATATATATATATATATATATATAAATGTCCACAATAAATCAATATACCAGTCCATAATGCAACAGGCCGGTACATAGAATAAATAGGAGGGGTAGGTTGGGACGGAGGTGTCACGTCAGTCAAGTCAAAAGTTGTCACAAAAAATACGAGTTCTAAAATGTTAATTTCATGGCATCTATTCGGTTCTACTCCAGCTGTGAAGGTGCACATTTCATTCCAAATATTGAGGAAGGAAAAGCTTCATATGCGCCAGCCTTTATTTCATTGCCTTTCCTTGATCATGACAATCTCTGTGTCTCCTGCATGTGGTCATGACAATCTCTGTGTCTCCTTTACGTGATCATGACAATCTCTGTGTCTCATGCACGTGATCATGACAATCTCCGTGTCTCCTGTTACAGCCGCAGAGGCCGCCCAGGCGCTCAAGGACCAGGGAGTGTCAATCATCTCTGTTGGCATTGGTCAGTACTCACTCGCAGAACTCAAGGCAGTAGCAAGTGATGATAAAAACGTCTTCACGGGGGCTAGTTTCGCGGACATTGAGAAGATAACTCTGGAAGTGGCGGCACGCGCATGTCAAGGTCAGTGACTGAATAAACGGATTTGTAGAGTAAATTATAAATGGATGTTGAATTGTTTGCGAGAAATCTAAAATATTAGGATTTATATACATCTTATTATGTAAGCGTCACACAATTTGACTTCAAAACTGTTAACTGATAAAAATGTATTGTGAGAAAAGAAAAAGGGAGGCAAAGACATTGGTTGTAGACCTACTGTTTATAAAGTCTGTGGTTATAGACCTACAGTTTATAGAGCTATTGGTTATAGACAAATTGCTTATAGAACTATTGATTTTAGACCTACTATTTATAGAGCCATTGTTTATAGACCTACAGTTTGTAGGGCCATTTCTTTTAGACCTACTGTTCATTGAGCTGTATTTGATTGAGGGGATTTTGATAAAGCCTTAAGTGAGAAAGTAATTGCTTAAAGATATATTTGTGATTTAGCTATTGGTAATAGAGCTATTGGTGATGACCTTATGGTCAAAGAAATATTAGCTAATGGCGATGTAGCTATTGGTGATAAGACCATAAGGCCGCTGTTATGGAGTTTATTGTGATAGAAACATAAGTTATTGTGGTGCAGATTATGCTTATAGAATCTTTGCTCACAGTGCTAGAATCTTTGCTCACAGTGCTAGAATCTTTGCTCACAGTGCTAGAATCTTTGCTCACAGTGCTGGAATCTTTGCTCACAGTGCTAGAATCTTTGCTCACAGTGCTAGAATCTTTGCTCACAGTGCTAGAATCTTTGCTCACAGTGCTAGAATCTTTGCTCACAGTGCTGGAATCTTTGCTCACAGTGCTAGAATCTTTGCTCACAGTGCTAGAATCTTTGCTCACAGTGCTAGAATCTTTGCTCACAGTGCTAGAATCTTTGCTCACAGTGCTAGAATCTTTGCTCACAGTGCTAGAATCTTTGCTCACAGTGCTAGAATCTTTGCTCACAGAGCTATTAGTGTTGAAGCGGAGCCGGCGCGTTACTTTTGGCGCCCCATGCCACTTTTACTCGTTGGCGCCCCATGTATTCAAACTCGATATATTATCTTTCACAACATCACAATTTTGGCTCCCCTTAGATATCAGATGACACCTGTAGCCGCTGGCGCCGCAGGACCCACTCGAACCTCGTAGATATTTTTATTATTCATAGAGTTATTGGTGAGAGAGAGAAAGGGGTTATAAAGTCACTGGTTATAGTGGCACCGGTTATAAAGTCACTGATTATAGTGGCACCGGTTATAAAGTCACTGATTATAGTGGCACCGGTTATAAAGTCACTGGTTATAGTGGCGCTGTTTATAAAGTCACTGGTTACAGTGGCGCTGGTTATAAAGTCACTGGTTATAGTGCACCGGTTATAAAGTCACTGGTTATATTGCACCGGTTATAAAGTCACTGGTTATAGTGCATCGGTTATAAAGTCACTGATTATAGTGGCACTGGTTATAAAGTCACTGTTTATAGTGGCACTGGTTATAAAGTCAATGGCTATTGTGGCACTGGTTATAAAGTTACTGGTTATAGAGGTGTTATTTTTGTGATCGGAATAATATGTTTGGGATGCATTATTGGTAAGTCATTGGTGCCTTTCGTTTGTGAGTTGTGAATGACGACATGATATAATTGAAAAAAGGGAATTAAAAAAAAGTTTGTTAATGCATGAACAACTGTAAGCTTGTGATTTTTATATCCCCCAGTTCCATCCGAGGGGAGAGGTTAGCGAGTCTCTGTTGACGACGGGAGAAAATTCAACTAAAATGAGGTTCAGTTAATGACCTCATTGCACTCAAGTGTGAAATTAATAAATGCATTTTAATCAAATGTATTTCAAAGTTTTTGTTGATTGATTTATCAAAATACTTAAAAGCGTAAAACCAATTTTCTTTAAAAATGCTGTTTCGTTAGTCTGTGTTAAAATGATTCACGTGTTAGAGGATTTCCACATGGCCTAAAACACCTTTTTTATGGATCAAACATGACACAGACCGTTGAAGAAATGATCAAACAAACCATATACATGTCATATAAAAATCATTTCTATGAATATTGTAATAAATGTAGATTGAATGTGATTATATGTTGCAAGTTCAAATGCAGCTTAATTAATAAGAACACAGACAGAGCAGTCATGCCAATGTAACTTAACCCTTGTACACTAATGGAATTATGGACCAAGAAAATTATATTTATTTTTTTATTTAAAACAAAACAAAAAACGCTATTTACCCTGTAATTTCTGATAGGTCTCTGTAATATCCATACTGACAACAGACCTATTGCAACATTGTTCAAAGGAGGTTGAAGTACGCTATAAATACTGACACAGATCAAATGACCAATTTTACGTTATGCTTACGAGGCAAAGGCATTCTCAGCGATCATACCACATTGGTTTAATATTGATTGAAAGGCGTATGTCCTTATATGTCATTACATGCTCTGCTATGTGTATTCTTGTTTTAACACATAACATGGTGATCTCTCCTTCAGAATTCGACAGTCATTTACTTGGGCTTTAGATGAATCGACTGGAGAATTAGTTTTTTGTTTTTTTTTTGTTTTTTTTAAATCACACTAAAATTTAACATCTGTTATGACCAGCAATTAAGTTTTGCCTGACCTGATTTTTTTGTTGACAAATTTTGACGTAATCGTGGATGCAACCAACGGTTCGGTAGGCTCGTCCTAAAGACTCCCCAAAATATCATTAGTGAATAGTTCAGAAATAACGTGGAGAAGATAATTAAAGAGTATAAAATATTTCCGGTTACTTGACTTGAAAATGTTTTCACTCAAACGCATAGAATACCACTTTTTTTTTGGGGGGGGGGGGGGGGGGGGGGGGGGGGGGGCAACGTTCCCTTTAAGCTGCGCAGCTCTCTCACAGACGCCGCGCAGCAGTTTTGTATCCGCGTAGCAAATTTTCTTGTAAGTGTGTGTTTGTGTTTGTGGGCTGTAAAATTTTGCACACAACAGTACACAACAAAAGGCGATACCAAATCATAAATACAACGACAAAGAACGCGACACTCAAACCAGGGCTAATTACGATTAATAAGTTTTATTGAGTTTATTTAAATTACAAAATCAAAAGAAATACAATTAAACACTATTGACTTACAGTATACTGTTAGGCTGGTACCGGTACAATGTGGAATAAAACACAATGTGCAAAAGGGATTCAATAATGAAAAGAAGTCTACACACACACACTGTCAACAAAGCTCTCACACGTTACAAAAATAACCCTCTCTCGTCGTCTGAAGCTCTGTGGTGGTGTCTGGACTGTATCATTCAACCACTCACATTTTATAGCCGTTTTCTTAGATCTTTCCAGAAGGACTACGCATTGCAAAAATGACTCAAACTTTCTCCAATGTTCTACCGAATTCGAGTAAAGAAACAGGCTATAGATTGGTTTGTAGCCGAGATCAAAAGGAGACTACAATTAGTAAGACACACCTAATGATAACGCAGGCGAATTGGGGTCAGCTTAATGTCGTTCACCAGGGAAAGATGATATGAAAGTAAAAATAGGACGTTTATATAACACCCACATTCTTAAAAAGATTTAAAAAAAATTAATTTGTCAAAATAGAATTCTTTTTTTCTATTAAAGAACGGACATTTTTCCTTACAAAATATTAAACAAAAACTTCTTAACAGCTTGGATATAATTACATAAGTCATGTATAGTAAAAATTAATTTCTGGACAAAGTATGAGCAATAACAACGGAGAGTTGCAAAAGACATCTCGAAATCGTAAATTGTCGCCAAAATCATAAAAGTAAACAGGTCTGCAGCAGGTCTATTACATAATTATTATACTAACCCCATAATACATGTAGACGTGTGTTAATTCGTCAATAACAATGATTATGAGCATGGAATATAAGAACAAGCTGTGCTAAGCTTGAATTCATAGACAGGACAAATGATTTGGACGTCTCGGCTTAGAGGCTTTATCAGCAAACAAAACAAATAGAGGTAGAACAAGTAAAAGAGCACAAGAGTAAAAAAAAAATCCTTTGCTTTTATTAATATTTTGGTAGTGTTTTATTGTTTGAAGCTAATTTTTTTTTAAATTCAAATATTCAAACGATGAGAAAAACAACTAATTGTAATAATAAACGTGAATTACAATATAGTTTAAACAAAATGTTTCAAAGTATCCACTAAAGAAAACATTAATTTTCCATTGAAAGTCTCGGCTTCCAGCATTTTTTTTTTAAACTGTGAATGAAGCTTGTGGTCAGCCTTTGGAGCGGATAAATATCAAGTGGTCAGCGAGTCCATAGCGGGTTCAGTTTATGGTTTATGTCAGCGGTCCTCAAGCAGGTTTGGCTGCACATCTCTGATTAAACTAGTTACATAAGATTTATAAATGTTTGGTCAGGGCTCGCGCGTGTAACATACACAGCATGCATCAAAACTGAAACAAGGTAAAAACGGGGTGGAGTGCAGTAACAACTCCAAACAGGCGATATAAAAGGAGATGAGTAGTACGGGGTAGTGAAAAAGCTGAAATGGGACACTATAAAACAACAGACAAGTCGCCAAAATGGCTTCTTGAACAAAATTATTATTATTTTTTTTTAAATCACCTAACTGATGCTCATGGAATAAAGCTGTCATGTCACAGACATGTACATGGCTCATGGAATAAAATAGTTTAGAAAAAGAAATCCATGAAAGGATAGTGATCTTAAGGGTTCCCTTTCCGTTGACTGAGAACCTGTCCAGAAAAAAAACACCAAAAAAACACCAAAAAAAAAAAAAAAAAAAAAAAAAAAAAAAAAAAATTTTTTTTTTTTTTTTTTTTTTTTTTTTCCAACAAAAACGAAAAAAAACAACAAAAAAAAACCCAGCGATATTTCGTAAAGATTGACAGCGCAACCTTTGAACCTGACGTCCTGTTTTTTTTTTGTTTTTTTTTTAAAAGCTCTCTCGCTATTGTTCTTCCAGCTGCAATCCCCGTCCACATTTACGCCCTGTTGCGCATGAACGGATATGAAGCTC